ATCTGCACCGTTCGTTCGATTTTCAAAAATAGGGTGTCAAATTAAAGCGCTTGGCCTGGAGATGTGCAAACTGGTTTTATTATATCGAAAAGAATTGCCACCTGTTGACAATTAAATTCAAAGTTTTAATATTCAATCCCATCAGATCCTTACCGTTCATTCGATTTTCAAGTCAGGTGTCAAATTGAAGGGTTTAGTAGAGTGTGGATGTTCAAGAAGGTTTTACTTTTTCGAAAAGGGTTGCCACCTGTTAAGAAATTAAGCTCAAATTTATTAAAAAGTTAAATCAATTATTAAATATGGGTATCAATCGGTTTTGAAATGGCTTTATAACTTAACTACGTATAGGAGGGTTGCCACACACAAAAAATGTAATTCAATTAATTAAAGGAATTTGGTAAGTGAATAAGGTATCGCTATATGGGTGTCATACAAAAAAGGTTTAAGAAGGTAGTAATTTGAAAATATTTTGAATAGAGTTGCCACCTATTTGAGAAGTCTAATTGAACTACATATTTTTTATATGAAATATTAACGATGGATTTCAAATGAAAGAGCTCCAAGAAATACTTAGTTTGAAGGTTGCCCCAGTTTAAAGGGCTAAACTAAAATTATATAATAGCTAAATGAATTACTAACCGATGGTTATCAATGGAAATTTGTTTACAATCTTTTATTTAAGAACTATATTTAGGAGGATTGCCACGTGTTTAAAAAATAAAATTCCACTTAATTCATCAGTTACATGAAATATTTATAACAATGTCAGGCGAAAAATATTTATTTTAGTTCGAAAATAATTTTTAAGAGGGTTGCCGCCTGTTTTGAAAGTGGTATTTCGTTTACTTATACATAAGTGACATGAAATTTTAAGATATGGTTATCAAAAGAACGAGTTTTAAGAAATCTTTAAGGTGAACATTTTTATTTTATTTTTTTTGAATAAATTAAGCTCAAATTATTTAATAAGTTAAATGGATTGTCAAAAGATGGGTATCAATCGAAATGGGTTTGAAAATACTTTATTTCTAAACTGTATTTAGGGGAGTTGCCATGTGCTTAAAAAATTAAATTCAACTTAATTAATCAGTTGATTGAAATATGTATCTATAACAATGGCAGGCAAAAGATTTTAGTTTGAAAATACTTTTAAAGGGGTTGCCACCTGTTTGAAAAGTCGAATTCGTTTTACTTATACGAAAGGTACATAAATGAAATATCGAAATATTAGTGTCAACCGAAAGAGTTTTAAGAGAACTATAGGCTGATAATATTTTTAATTAGAGTTGTCGTCTATTTTTGTTTTTTTTTGAAGGTCATCATATCTGCACCGTTATTTCGAATTCCCAAAATTAGAAGTCAAATTAAAGAACTGGGATTCTACATAGATGTGCACAGGTTTTATTTTTTGAAGTTACAGGGAGATTTGAAATTTGATGAAATGAAAACCGACTCCATGCGAGACCTCTTATCACTGAGAAATGGTTGAGATTAATCATTAGGAATATTTTTAGAAGTTTATGAATAGGGTTTCACCTATTTAAAAAATTTAATTAAATGTTGGCGTTTTGACGCCATGCGGGTTCACTAGTTGTATTTAATTGTGATATAATTCAGTACAACTCAAAGAAAAGTCACATACAATTAACCGAGGTATAGATACAAATTCTTTTCATACCGAGTCAACATTAACATCCAGATTGCGATGAATATTGAGACAAGATAGCCCATTATGTGCTCGTGCTCTGCTCATGCCTGCACATGCATGCTGATATTCATTGATATATTTGCAAAACTATAACTAAATAGGGGAGCGAAGGCTATTATGGGCCACATAAGGAAACATTTCTGTACTACCACAAACACTTTCAGGGATATGACACGCCCCTTTTCTTATAGCCCTAATTTTCTTACATGGGTATGTATAGGAAGTACCACGCTCTCTTCAAAACTCTGATTTTTCTATACAATCTCCCTACCAAGATCCAGTACCCTCCCACAACTATTTCAAGAGATTTTTATGCAGTATGAAAATTCTATGCAATTTCTAAGGGAAGGGCCACGCCCACTTGATTTATAAACATTTTTTCTATGACCATCTTTGGCAAGTCCATGGTAAGTGTGCCAAATTTGGTTCTGATTGGGAAAGTGGTTAAGTGGTTTTTCAATCCAGGTCATAAACCATCTGTGTGCAAAATTTCAGGTAACAACCCTCTTCAAAAATATCTTCGAAACTAAGCTCTCTTGAACTTTTTTCGCTTGACACCTGTATAGTAATGTTTGATTGAACCTGTTAAGAAGTTTAAATTAAATTAATAAAATTTAAACTTTTTAAATGTTAATAAAATTTAAACTTTTTAACAGGTGGTAACTCTTTTACAAGTCCAGGTCGTAAGCAGGGCTGCCAACTTGGCTCAAACCGTGCCATTTTTGGCCCTATTTTAAACAAATGGCACTTAATTTTTCAATTTGGCACAAAGTGCAAAAGTGGCACTTTTCAAAAATAGTAATATTTCAATACATTTTTGTGTGCGTGTTCTTTTTTACACCTAAAATTTTCTAATTTCTAAAGAATATTCAAATGGTTTATCTTATTTTGGCATTGCACTTTTGTTTTCGAAATGTAGATCTTATTTTATTGCTAAATGGGAAGGATTAAAAAGAATGACACCTTTGCATGCAAACCCGTTTAGTCGTTTCCGCGTGATTGAGCCACAAACATCCCCACATACAAACTTTTACATTTATAATATTTATTATATTATATTGTATTATATTATATTATATTATATCAGTGATGGGCGTTTTTGAATAAATTATTATTCAAATAAAAAATAAAATTTTATTCAAAATATTTCTAATTTTGAATGACGAATAAATTTTTATTGTTCATTCAAGCACTTTCCAATGATGAATCAATTTTTATTCATCATTGAAATAATTTCAAATAACGAATAAATTTTTATTCTTCATTCAAGCACTTTCAAATAACTAAATTACTTGAATGACGAATAAAAATATATTCGTTATTTGAAATTACTTGAATGACGAATAAAAATATATTCGTTATTTGAAATTACTTGAACGATGAATACAAATTTATTCATCATTCGAAAGTGCTTGAATGAAGAATAAAAATTTATTCGTTCTTCAAAATTGTTGAAATTGATGAATGAAAACTTATTCTTATTTTTTTATTCAATTATTCATTTTCCTGATTACGCCCATCCCTGTATTAATATTATATTATATATAGTATACGTTATATTCAATGCCCGTATGATATAACGTTTTTTCTGTATTTTTCATTTGAAATATAAACAAAAAAACTGAAGTCAAATTACAAAAACGATTCGGAAATGCGTCAGAGAGAGACAAATTCTGTGTGAAAAACAGCTGAGTTTTAACATTTCCTTACCGAAATTCAAATTTGCGTAAAACCATTTTGTTATAATAAAAAAATTAAATTAAAGCGGAAAGTATTTCACTTAATTGTATTTCCATTTTTTTATGCTTAGGAAATCCCTCGTGCAAACGGCTGTGTAAGAAAAACGAACGAACTTACGCCATCTGTCAAAAAGACCTAACGAAATAAAGGTTGGCCAGATTGATTTTAACAACCTGGTTTGTTCGCTTACACCGCTTACACAAGTACTGAAATCGTATCTGACCAACGTCTACCATGTATTTTTTTTTTTAATATGGGGGTCTACCACATCTAGTCACACAAGGCTTAAAATCTACCACATTTTTAGACACAACATTTGTTTACAATTTTCACATAACTCTAAAATTTCAACTCAATTTTTATAAGAAATATAAAAACTAATCAATAAATTTCTAAAGAGCTACATCATAAATTTTGCTTTAAATATATCTGTGCCTTAACTTTTTAAAATTGCAAAAATTCGTATATTTATATTTGCTAAAGTATTATGCAATGGAAAAATAATTTGCTGGATTTTTTTGCATAAATAAATCTGCAAAATTTTTCTCAAATTAATGAAAATTTTTTTCTGCATGATTATATTCTCTAACTAGAAAACTAATGTTATACTTGTTTTTGCATCAATTGCGTTGAATCTGTACGATCAACCAGCACATATATTTCCCGATCTAATTTTTGAGTTGTACCTCTTGTGACGACGGTGTGCGATATGTAACCCAAAAAAAATATGAATTGGTAAATCTGCACTCGAAATACAAGAAAAAACACAGCAAGAGATATAATTCCTAATAAATTCTGTCCCACTTCTCCGACAACACAGAAAGGAGAAATCTGAGTAGTAAGTGTTATGATCGCTAAGCGCGTCCAAAGGGCCGCCTACGCAGAACGAAGTTCCGCCCGGCGATCTACGGTAATTTTTACCGTGAATTTACGGTAAGTTTTACCGTACATCTACGGTATTTTTACCGCGTATCTACGGTAAAAGTTGCCGTGGCGCGTGTGTACTTACACTGCCAATAACAAAAGATAAAGGAAAAAAATTCTATGCACTCGTAAAATACGTCTTTAGTGTTACAGAGCTCAGTCTAAAACCATAAATGCTTATTAACTAATATATACATTTTGATATCTCATTTATTTACAGGTCCAACACCGGTGCAAATGGTTTCACAAAACCGGCCCACACCAATCCCAGTGCAAGTACAAGTACCACAAGGTCAGGTGATGCAGCAATATGTTAACGAGAGCGGACCTTTTGCGCACGTTGTGCTATCGCCACAATACCAACAGCTCCACGCCAGCCAAGGACATATTCATGCCCCTTTCGTAAGTTTCGTGCACATAAAAGCATTTTAATTATACATACCTACATATGTGTGGCTTTTTATTAAAACAACTTAGTTTGAGTTCCCAAACGATATTTTAACCATTCACCAGCCATAGGTGTATTTTAATAGAAGCTTAATAAAAATATGCAATTTTTCAAGGGAAACTTATTATTTTTTAATTCTAAGTGAAGCCTTCTAAAGTAATTTAGGTTGTTTTATAATGACACAGGCGAGGACGCTATTTTCTCTGCGCTAATGCGACACTTGAAAAAAACGCCATTGAAGAGGCGGAGGTTAATTTAACCGCTGCCCTACGTGTAAGTTTGGATAAGACTTGTCCGTCTCGGCCAACTCTTAGCCGTACGCCTGTCCCTGGTTGAACAAAAAGCTTGAGGAGTGAGTCGAGGAGACTTCTAAACCGGGCCCTCAAAACTAATTTTGAGATGGAATTCTCTGCAAAAGGTGTTCAGCCCCCCTTCTTCGGCAACACAGAGAGAAAAATTGTACTTAGTGAGCGTTATAATCCCTAAGTGTTTTCTGCAAAAGGTGTTCAGCCCCCCTTCTTCGGCAACACAGAAAGGAGAATTCTACGAAGTGAAAATTCCCTATTAAAAATTCGCTTTTATTATTCAAAATTCCAGTCTGGCAGCACCAAGTTTGATGTTATTTTGCTATCTTATTCATCGTTGATACGAAAACTTTAACAAATTATATCAAAACTATAAGATTGCAAGAAAAGAGGAGTATTTTTTAAATCAGGGGGTCCTCAACCGCCGCCCCCTTACACCTTCCCCCCCTCCCCCTCATCACCCGTTTTCTAGAATTGGGTACTGTTTATTAAGTGACCGAACTACTTCGGGGTATTGCGTCCAAAGGGGTGACCCGATCCATAAAAAACTTCCACACACTTATAGTCAAGTGTCTACGCATTATTTTAACAGCTACCTTTGTAATTTTCGGCCACTAATTTATTTAGAAATTCGGTTTGAAATATGCCTTTTTTTGTAAAATTCGGATATTAGCTTACATTTATCACTCCTTTTTCTCCTCAAGGCAGCCACTTCAGCAATACATTTTTATATTCCCCTTTACTTTACACTTTATTCGAATAGCTATAAATTTCTTTATTACTTTAATTTTAACCGATTAATCAAAGTTTAATAAATAAAAACATAAAAATAAAAACTCTAAAATATACATGAAGGATGAGAGACAAAAGAAAATAAGATATAACCCACTGAGCATTCATAATTTAAACCTTTCCATGGAAATTAGGAAAAGTGTTCTCTGCAAAAGGAGTTCTCTGCAAAAGGTTTTCAGCCCCCCTTCTTTGGCAACACAGAAAAGAGAATTTTACTTACTGAGGGTTATAATCAATGCCTAAGTGCGGCCCAAGTCCGCCTACGCAGCAAGAAGTTTTGCGCTAAAATACTATCATATTACTTTAACTATAACATTTTTACCTGTCGCGTTTTTTTTAATATAACAATATTTTTAGCGAAATTTTTTTAATAACTTTTTTTATACAAAAACGCCTAATAACAAACTTGGGATAATTTATTTTTTTTTTAAATCCCACGGTTTATGTTAGTTGGGTTATATTCCACTTCAAACTGCTCAGACTGCTTTTACACAGTTCAAGTATTGAATTCAATTCTGCTCGCATGTGGAAGAGAGGGGGTGGGAAGAAAAGGGACGAGTACACATGCGTCTGTACCGTCAAATAGTTTCAACTTTCCTGCTTTGCTTTTGGCATTTTCGTTGCTTCCCATTTAAAGAACCAAAAACTTGAATCCAACAGAATTAAAACGTGTAAAAGCAAATAGAAAACACAAAAGAGAATGAGCAAGAATTGCTTTCAAGTACTTGAATCATGTAAATCGGGTGTCAGTTTGGCTCGGTAAATGCCGTTTTTCCCCATTTTCAAACGGTTCCCTAGGGCAGGCCTTCCCCAAGTGGGTGACGCGGCACCCTGGGGTGCCGCGAGCATATGCCTGGGGTGTCGCAAGTGGCTAGAATATACTAGTGGTGCGGGCAAATTCTTTAGACTTTCCATACACAACGCAAGCGGTTTGATCAAACTTCAACATGGCGGCCAGAAAATCAAAAAATTTAGATTTTATTAACCCTTAATTAGGTGCATGGGGTCAAGGCCATTTCAAGTTGAAAAAAATGTGTTAAGAGTACTTGGAGCGTGCTCGCGCTCTTTCTAGCTTCCTAACTCCCCGCGGGGTACGTGAATAAGTCACTGCCAGAACATCGGCGTGTACGCATGTGTCACTACTCTTTTGAGTCCTGACCCAATGCGACCACTTAGGTAACATTTTTTATCATTTTTTTTTTTTTGTCAATGTTATTGTGGCTTATTAACATTTTTATTTTTAATATTTTTATTGAGCTTTGTACCACGATTTTTTTTTTTTTTTTGTATCTAAATTTGAAGTCAAAGTTACGCTTTTCTATCTTAAAGTTAACTATAAGAAAGAGCTTTAATATTTATGACAATACACATTTCGTTTTATATATTTATCCATATGGCTACATTTGCTACGTATTCTTCTGCTCAGGGCTGGCATCGAGTCAAACCCAGGGCCAGAAACCTACACCTGCTGTGTATGCCAGAGACGACTACACCACAACTCCACCTCAGTCAAGTCGAATGCTTGCGAGGGTGGGGTCACCTCAGAGTCTGCTCAGGATTACGGACGCATCGGCAGTGGACCACGTCGTTTGTGGCACCCTGCTGCTCAAATAGAGCAGCCTCCACGGCTAACCCCAGTCCACCTGAGCAACTCCACACAAACACCACAGCACAACAACATAACAGCACAATAGACCACACCACAACCACGGCAGACCACTGAACATACACTACCGCACCACCACCCACACGCCGCCGCCAACAACTCTTGGTTCCTCCTACAATCTGCAGGGTATGTGCACCACACCGTGCAGTATCGTCTTATCGAAGCAGACATCGACCGCAGGGATACCACCTTAGAATGTCAGGGCATTGCTATCCGGTTAGGCGATGTTGAGCTGGAAATATTTAAAGTGTACAACTTCTTTCCTTGTTAGTTCCTTGACTTAGTTACTGGTAAATAGATTGAAATCGTCAACTCTGCTACTAAATTGATGGATGAAAATCCTTTTGTTTTCCTTCCTCTTTATGATTTGATGAAATAATAAAAATGCCAACTGATAGCAACAATATTGGAAGACCGAATTAAAACAACTTATTTCTTTTGATGGTAGAGACAAACTAAAACTTTATTAAACATTGAAATATCTCCTAACGTTTCTAAAAAGAATTTACTTCCAACACACACACAAAAATATCTAAGCAAAGACAGTAGTAAGAATACAAATTTGCTTAAGCTAATTGCATGGTTCTGCCAAGAGCTGCCGTATTCATGTTGTCACAGCTGCAGTTGCGGCTCGGGTTTCATTTCTGGAGAATTGCAAGCTATCGCTTGAAACTTAAAATTGCAAGTGTTTCAAATTCTTATACTGTTATTGTGATGTTTACATGGAACGTACGTCGGCGTGGGAGTCATGAGTTAACTTACATACCCCCTGTCACCTGCTGCCCGGAAGGATATCACCCTGATATAGGTGCGCTCCTCAGAGGTGAAAACCGTATGGTAGTAGGTGACTTTAATGCGCACCACGATCGTTGGCATTCAAGCCTATCAAACGATCGTAGGGGAACTGACTTGGCTGAGCAGACATTCTGCACAATGAACGACGACGCACCCACCAGGATTATGGGCAGCTGCTGCAGCTCGCCAGACATAACAATAGTCAGCGCTGGTCTGATAAACAGCATATCATGGCGACCTATGCTGGCTTTGGCATCAGACCATCTGCCCATAGTCATCTCGATCGATAAACCAACCGACTTTGCTTCCACGGAACACCGGACCTATATCAACTTTTCTAAAGCTGAATGGAAAGGCTTCGCGGAATTTACTGAAAACACCTTCGCTGCGCTCCCCACACCAACCGACGTCCACTTTGGTGAACGTAAGTTCCGCAGGGCTATCAGCGCTGCTGCAGCTCGCTTCGTACCGGAAGGATGCATAACGGACCGACGTCCAAATTTCCCTGCCGAAGCGGCTGTTCTAGCCGATGATCGTGACAACCTTCGTCAGGCCGATCCTGGAGATCCCCGTATCAGGGATCACTGCCAAACCCCAGTGTGATTCTTGTCTTCACCAGCGGTGAGGTAAGGGGAGCCATCGGGGAAGGCGAAAGTCTCAAAAGCCATTGAACCCGACGGAATATGCATGCTGATGCTGAAAAATGTGGGTCCTACGGGAGTAGCGTACCTAACGGAGGTCCTCAACTTGTCAATGGTCACTCTCGTCATTCCAGACGTCTGGAAGATGGGGAGAGTGGTCCCACTGCTCAACCCGGAGACCAGCCAACAAAGACGATTCGTATCGACCGATAACACTCCTTTCCCCGGTAGCGAAGACACTTGAGGCCTTGCTGCTCCCGTATTTCACGAACCACCTGACCCCAGCAAAGCTTCAGCATGGTTTCCGTAAAGTGCACAGTATAACAACAGCACTTAACGCCATAAACACTCAGATAACTCGTGGCCTGAAGCGTAACCGTCCCTGTGAGAGAACGATTCTAGTAGCGTTGGACTTGCCAAAGGCGTTTGACACTGTCAGCCATTCCACGGTACTAGATGATATAGAGCCTTCCATTCTCCCTCAGAGGCTCAAACGGTGGTCGGCAAAGTATCTGAGTGGTCCACACTCGTCGGCAGTGTTTACAGACAAATCGAGCAAACAGAGGGTTCCACAGGGTGGTGTCCTTTCCTCGCTACTGATCAACTTTTATATTTCAAAGCTCCCTCAACCACCAGAGGGAGTCTCGATTGTCTCTTACGCCGATGATTGCTCGATCATGGCGACTGGGAATGGAATTGATGACTTGTGTTCGAAAGTAAACGGGTATCTCTCCGAGGGAATGGAATTGATGACT